ACATTTTTGTCAATATTCGGCTGGCAAGTTCACCATGCGGGCAATTACCCATCGTAATGAAATTTTTTCCACATAATTGTTCATGTCTTGCCTATATCTGTTCAAAATATCAACTTCTTTTTTCACTTGTTTTTCGACTTTTGGGGGCATGTCATTGCCTTTCATGGCTTGTAGGTCATTATAGGGAAAAATAAGCGTTGTCTGTGTATGGAACTCTTCCCAAGATGAGCTTTCAAAGTTCACACTTCAATTTGTTCCCTGCTTCCTAACATCAGTGACTAACCTTTATCATTTTCAAACAATTCCTTCCTGCCTGATGTTTTCCTTGACTTCGTTTAAAGCTATTCATGCCCTGCTTTGATTAACTCTTGTATTCTATTTTCTCGAGAACATAATATCACATAAACCATGCAAAAACTCACAAATGAAAGACTTGATGGTGATGTTCAAGAAAAACAAAATGGCGTTAATTAGTACTTAACACTCAAAAACAATATGAACCAACTCCTTCTCAATCTGCAGCAATCCATTTCCATGCAATAATTAGAATCCAACCATTGGTTTGCTAAAACTCTTAAGAAAAGGTCTGAGACTGAAAGTGCATTCTCAAGTTTTATGATCATTAACAAACTAAAAACTAGGCAAGCATCAAAACATTAAGCTGATTGCAATAATGATCAAATCAGAACAGTGCTGTCATAGACAACAAAATCGAAGAATAAAAATACAGAAGTAACATAATGATGTGTCATTGATAGACTCTTTGCATATGTAATTGCACTGGCACAGCCATCCCAACAAATCCACAAGTGTCTGTGTGTGAATCCCGTATGGTTACTATTATTATTTTAGGACATTGAACCCCACCCAGTCTGTCACCAATTTCAAAGGAATCCTTCTTCACTCTCAAAAACCTTCACTAGATGCACCCAGTTAAACTGATGTTTTGGGAGAAACCCCTTACTCCCCCCCCCCCTCCCCCTCGCGGGAATGACATGTGCGAATACACTTAGTCTCAAGATGTATGATTAACAACAAGATACTGTACATGTGTTTACGTCACATACAAGTATCGTCACCCCACCCATCACTTTTTATTTTTTTCTTAATTCTCTTTACAGATGACTGATGTCACTTTCTTTCAGAAGCCGAAAACCGAAACAACTCGAAATGTATCGACATATTGACAAAAGAAGGATCAATCAAAGAGATGTACACGGATATAGTCGATCACTTGAAGTACCTTGAACTTGGATAATTCAAGCAGGTAACAATTCAAGCAGGTAACAAAGGCCAATTCAAGCAGGTAACAAAGGCCAACGTCAACACAACTCATGACGGAAGAACAGTATTCCGACTAACACGCCAGTCGCGAGTAAGTAAACAGTCTACTCTACATATATAGAACAATTAAGAGACAGAGCTTTCACAATTGCCTATAATAATTAACCCTCACTCTACTTGACCCTCCAACACATGCCATGATATGCCTTAAGAAAAATGTGTTTTTTTTTGCACGGCGCGCCAATATATGCCGTGTCATTTCAACACACACTCCGATACAAGCCACAAACAACAACTAGAGCTGTATGTCTGTTTGCAAACAGAACACAGGGCTTTTTCGCATTTTACAAATATTTGTTTCGTTTGTCTTTTTGCAGTCACTTTTCAGAGTACTTCATGCAGTTAAAGGTTGTTCAAAATGCTTAGAATAATTTCTAAAGTGTAATTTTATCAAATGATGTCACTTGCCCTGCAATGACGTCATCCTTAAGACCCTTCTCAATGCACATTGTCATTGTGATTTTGGTTTGAACCAAGTTTAATGTCAATCCGATGAAAGAAAGTGTGCAATTTGTGGAAGCACAATAAAATTTAAAATATCTAAAAATTATCAAAACGAAACGATAACGTCATCGTGACGTCACTTTAAACTTTGTATAGTACCATTATTTACCTACCCATTAAGTTTCATGACAGTCGGACCTTTCCTTATGTGTTTTGAAAAATCGCATTTTTATGACGTCATAATGATGTCAGATATTTTGTTCAAAATGTTGTGCAAATACCTTCTACCTAGCAAAGAATTTTGAATTTTGCATGTTACGTTCATGAGATATGGCTATATAGTCAAAAACTTCAAATATTCATATAAAATCTCCGGATGACGTCATCATGGCGTCACTTAATTGTTTTTTTTTTTAATATAACACATCCCGGTATAGCCACATACCAAGTTTCAACCCAATCAGACTTACAGTTCTGTAGATATAGTTAAAGGTTGTTCAAAACGCTTAGAATAATTTCTAAAATATAATTTTATCAAATGACGTCACTTGCTCTGCAATGACGTCATCGTTAAAACCCTTCTCAATGCACATTTTGTCATTGTGGTTTTGGTTTGAACCAAGTTTAATGTCAATCCAATGAAAGAAAGTGTGCAATTTGTGGAAGCAGAATAAAATTATAACTATCTAAAAAATCATAAAAACCAAACGATGACGTTATTGTGACGTCACTTCAAACTTTGCATACTACATGTAGTACCATTATCTACCTACCCACCAAGTCTCATGACAGTCAGACCTTTCCTTATATGTGTTTTGAAAAATTGCATTTTTATGACATCATGATGACGCCACAATTTTTTTTTCAAACTTTTGGGCGAATACCTATTACCTAACAGACCTAATACAAAAAGAATTTTGAATTCAGGCTTTTGTGCCGCTCGTTACGCTGCCTTGCATAGCTTAGCCTGTCCGCCCGTACAACCATTAAAGGCGAATGGGGGCGCCATTCACTTTATACGGTGTAGCGCATTTTTTTGTAATGCGCTATCGTTTAGAATAATAAGATCAGGCTGTGTGCCGCTCGTTACGCTGCCTTGCACAGCCTAGCCTGTGCGCCCGTACAACCGTTAAAGTTATGTACTGCCCTCTTTTGGCGAGAATGAAGGGGCAAAATGTACATTGTACGACGTTTCAAAGCCATGTACATGTACGTGCTATACATTGTCGAAGTCTTGTGCATGTTTTAAAGCGCTCTGCTACAACTTGCGCAAGGGTATTTTTGGCTCACGTCGCGTCAATTACTGTGTGATCATTTTGACAAGTTGGGAACTTGGCACTCTTGGAGCAAATGTTAACGCTATCATTTAACGGGCAATTCAAGATTAAATCTGTACGGATTGATTTGTTAGCAATTTTTGAAAAGGAAAGGTCTTTTCAACGGAACTTCCAGTCTGATGATGTCATACGCTTAAAATTTCGCACACGTCTTAAGTAGGGCAAGGTCATCATATACACCAATATTTAGGCGATTCTGACAAACTTTGCCTCAGACATCTATTCAAAATACATGTTTGCAAATTTTCAACCTGTCGCTAGAGGGCACTCGAAAATTACATGACGTCATCGGTAGATAATTTGAAGAATACTATCAGCCAAGAGACTAACACTGTTGAAAGCAAGTTCATATCTATTACCACTTTTAAATAATAAGCCACTTTCGGTTTTGGCCTTTTTCGACCGGAAACAATGGTCACGTGATTTCACGCACACTGAATGAAATAAAGACACATCATGCCAGTTTTCATCTATGATACTTCCATTTGTAGATACAAGCAAGGTTTCAACCCAATCGGACAAGTAGTTTAGGAGAAATAATCCTTTAAGAATGGCGCTTTAATGTCAAGTGACTGGTCTCGTGATGATGTCAGGGGCACATGATGTCAGTTGTTATCTTTAACATTTCTGTTTGTAGATACATTCAAGGTTTCAACCCGATCGGATATGTGTCGGCGACATAAATTAAATTTACAAATATGCCAAATTGACAAAAACATGTGACGGCGCTGACACGCTAAACATTTAACTGAAAACAACACAAATAACTTGGTTTTATTACATGATAACAGTCCATAAAAAAAGCTTTTCCATGTAGTAATTATACTGTGCATGCAAACGGATTCTTAAATTAGCACATTATATTTTAACAAAAATATCTGTAACCTTTTAACGCTCAAAATTAACATTACAACGTTCGTTACTAATTCTAAGAATATACTATAACTCATACTAACTATATAGAAATATAGTGTTGTCCTCATATAATACTCAATTACTTGAACTTTTACTTTTTATACATGCATAATTTTTTCTTTTACAATTAAAAGAATAGCTTGCAATGATTGATGGCAAGAACTAGTATGACATGTTATTTATACATTTTTAATTTTTTTTTCAAATATAACAAACTGAACACTTTTACAGCTGCATATCATTGTTCATATGTTTTGGGTAGTACACTTTCTTTCACTATTAATAATATAACAAAGCTAGCTGTAATGAGGGAAATTATTGGTAAAAATGTCTGATGGGGGAGTTCTATCTGTCACTGTGTAACTGGGTTCTTAACTCCAATGATGTCTGTTAAAATATATAGAAATCATTTCCTATTTGAAATGTACAAAACTAACCAGAAAAGTGAGCATTGCAGTATTATTTGTCACGTAAGCTTTGTTTAAGTCACAACAATTATAAATACCTATTATATTTTTTGATAAACGCTTGCAAAGAGCTGTGTTTTTAAATAACGTCTTATATTGCTTATTTGCTTCTAACATGTAACGGTGTTTATTGGACATTACTTTGTTACTGAAAATTACACTGTACAGCCATGCAAGGAAAACACTTGGATTGTTGCCTAATCTAATTTATAACCCTGATGTTGTTCATCACATCGAATTTACGTTCTTAAAAAAATTTGAAAGCTCATCTTGGGAAGAGTTCCATACACAGACAACGCTTATTTTTCCCTATAATGACCTACAAGCCATGAAAGGCAATGACATGCCCCCAAAAGTCGAAAAACATTTAAAAAATGATTTATCATGGTAAAATTTCACGAGCTATGGGAATGGTTGAATACCATCATGAAAATGTACTTCAAGCTGTGCTAGTTTGATCATATAATGCTGTGAATGTTTACTTTAGCAAATAACAAACATCTTTCAACACTTGATTTGTTGCGACATGTATAAAAAGAACTACAGGCTAATAATTTCCCCTTTGGCAAATATTAGAACGCAACATTATTGTCTGATATACTTTATAAAACGTGTTATACATTTTTAATGTTGTTGTGCTAGTTTTCATTATACATATAACTGTATTTTAACTTTATACATGCATATCCTGATTGTTATCATATCATGATCATTTATCCTGATTTTTGCAACATGTTTTTCACTAGGCTAATTACAAGAGGCTATTGGCATTAACAAATTTGCCACTCACTGTACAAAAACAATGCTTTTTAGTGCTCATATATCTTGTTTTGTGCTATTAAGAAAGTTTTGTCAGTTTCAACTCTCCAAAAAGAAGTTCAAGTACTCATGAAAAGTAACAACTAAAAACAATTGTAAAACCATGATGTTTTCAACAGTTCAAGTAAGCATCATCACAGCATCACACTATGTGAATACAATCAGAACTCCAGCACTTTTTTCACTGCCCTTTCTTCAAGTCTTTCTTCTGTATTTAGTGTACCCAAATCAATAACATGTTGTCCCTGTAGAACTAAGTCAATGAGCTTCTTGTCTTCCAGATGCTTGAGAATGTCATCAACAACAACTGTGTGCCACAGTTTTATAGCGATTGCTTTTGGCATGTGTATTTCAACCAGTTCACCTCGAAGCTCACAAGTCAATAACATGAAGTCTCCATTTTTGTCTTCAACAGTAATGACTTCGACCTGCACTTCTTCAACGGCAATCTATATATTAAACGAGTATAAAAAACAAATAGACATATTGAAGAAATTGGTGTGGACATCTAAAAATGTTATTGTTTTCAAAGCAATGTAACCAATTCAACAAAATGGACAACACCTGCACATCATTTATCAGATTGATAAACCAAGAATGTACTTATTACGACTATTTAGTGCAGGTCATAAAGCCAGTGGTTAACTTAAATTTATTGATTATTCTACTGATTCATTCAGCTCTTTTGACAGTATTTTGAAACACTAACCAAAAAAACTCAATTCAAATAACTGATAGATCTGAAAAAAAAAACCCAAAAAATACATTTACTACTGACCAAAAAAGAACACTTTTTTCCATGTTTGTTGCAGTTAAACACTAGCTTTGTCATATACTTTAAGGCTGAATAACTAATGTCACTCATTTTTATTGCCCTACATTGTTGATTTACTTGAAATTCAAGGTTTTTTGTTTTTACAGTAACATGTGTTGTACATGTCTGAAAGAACCAAATTATACTTTTAATGATATAAAAACTACACTGCTACCATTTCCTGTGTACTTAAACCAAAACAAGACGTTGATGTTTCTTGAAACATTTGGCTGCCCCCAATCAATAGCTGTGATTTTTGACACCTTTTGATATAGCAGTAAGAAAGTCCTTGGAAATACACTTTAATAAAATTACGTGCACTGGCTTTTCTAACGGATGGCGTATTGTCCACTGTGTTGTCACACTATGTAATAGTTTACTTAAAGCTACAATTCATGACACTAACAATAACGATTGGCATAACCTTTCATTTTTTTCCCCTACAAACAATTCATTTTATTTTGCTTTCAAGTAAATAAGCTTTTTCAACTGAGCACCATGACAGAACTATGTTTATAAATAAACTAAATTCAGACATAAAAATATTATGATGTCTTGTTGGATTAGGGAAAAAAGTGTGAGCACTCTGATTATGGAAATACATATAGCTCCATGGTCTGATTGAACCTTTAAAGTGCTTGTCGTGTGTAACATATAATGTATGCAATTATTTATTTTATTTTATTAAATGGTTTATTTTACTCTCCCGTCGCAGCCCGAAAGCTGAATTGTGGGCAGGTTTACATTGGAAAACATTTCAAAAATAGACAGAGGTAAAAACTGTATGTATTACAATAAAAATAATTAGAAGACCGGGAAAAAATTATACTGAGAGTTAAAACATAATGCATGTAACAACAAGAATGGTGAGTACACAATAAAACAAATTTACAAAAAAATTGACTAAAAACAGTTGATTAAAAACAGTTGGGAAAACAAACATGGAGAAATGGATTGCTCAGATAACAATAAACAGTAAATAAATGAAGATAAATATCAAACCAGGGTGTGAGACGTAGAGCTTAGTTGTTCATTAAGAAGATTTGTTAAAAATGGGATTGCACTATTCTTGTATCGGTTGGTTCGACATCGAGGGATTGACAGGGTGTTGGTATTGCGGAGGTTGTTCGATCTTTTGGGTGGTAACCAGTCACGGTATTTATGAGATGAGAGAAGGTTTTTACCAAACTTTAAACAGAGATGATCACGTCTTTCCTGGAGAGAGGGGATTTGTATCATATTAGACATAAGGTCATAGGGAACGTGCTCGCAAACATTAATGGAAAGGATTGTGCGAAATGCTTTTTTTGGTAATTTTTCGAGCGATTCCCTTTGTTCCTTTGTCAATCCAGAATGCCAAACAGGACATGCATACTCAGCAGTGGGTCTTACGTACTGCATGTAAACAGTGACCAAGTCATCAATGGATAGACCACAGCGTTTAAGTTGGCGTAAGAAGTACAGTCTGCGGTTAAAGGAATTGCACATTGTAGTCACCTGGGTGTCCCATCTGAGATTGTTTTGAATGTAAACACCAAGAATTTTCAAACAATTTGATTGACCAAGGACTGAGGCACCTATTTGAAAATCAGGAGGGTAGATTGGATTCTTCTTAAAACACACAGTCATAGCCTGGCATTTAGTGGGGTTTAATTTCATATTATTATTAAAAGTCCATTGATTTAACCTGTCAAGTTCAATTTGCATCGAGCTGGATTGATTTACGTCACTGAAAGTCTGACACAATGTTAAGTCATCCACATATTTATAATGCATAACTTCAGGTGAATTGGATCCAGCATCGTTAATCATAGCCAAGAAAGCAACAGGCCCTAGTTTAGTACCTTGTGGAATGCCTGCATGTATTGACCGCCATTCGGATAGTTCATTTTGGTAACAAACAGCTTGGGTACGATAAGACAAAAAGCTACATATCCAAGGAATAATGGATCGTCGAACACCTAAACTTATGAATTTGGAAATGACAATGTTATGGTCAACACGATCAAATGCTTTGGAAAAATCTGTTGCAACAATTACAGTAAAGTTTTTTGATATGTCAGTATCACTATACACTTTATCTAAAAGTTTTATCATGTTATGAGTGGTTGAGGTATCCTTAAGGGAGCCGAACTGTTGTTTGTCCAAAGAACAATTGATATCAGTTTTGATCCAGCTTGTTACAAAGTCTTCAAAGACTTTCGCAAAGACACAAGTAAGGAAGATAGGCCGGAGATTAGGTATTGTGTGGGGTTGGCACTTCGGCACTGGCACAACATAAGCAGATTTCCATATCCCCGGAACAATACCTTCACTCAATGAACAATTAAAAATGTTAGACAAGGGAAAGCACAGTTCATAGGCGAACTCTTTAATCAGCCATGATGGGATTGAGTCCGGACCACCACTCTTGTACAGTTTCACCTTCTTCAGTTTATAATACACATCTTGTGGAGACACGGTTGGCACTGGAGTATCTGGTGGTAAGTATGCCGGTAGACTACTGGAATCCAGACAGGGGATATCACTTGCAACAGACAGAAAATGTCCGTTGATCTGCGAAGCAATCTCTATCCCAGAATACTTTGCAGACTCAGGTAAATGAATCTTTGTTTTTTTATTCAGACCGGTTAGTTTCTTGATTTCTTTATGCCAATCTCTGGGGTTAGAACATTTAAGGTGTCTCACGCTCTTTTTGTAGAATTCTCGTTTCGATTGTTTTAAAAGTCTTGAAACCTTGTTTCGCAGGAATCTCCAAAGGTAAGTTTTGCCATCCGAAAATGCTTTTTGTCTTTTAATGACGAGTGCCTTGAGCTCGGGATTCATCCATGGTTGGTCTTCAGCGTGGACGGAAACTGTTTTTGTTGGGAAAAATCGATCCATTGCTGCTAGAAGGGTTTCATAGAATGCATCAGTCTTGTGATTTGGTGATTCAGCTGACGTTACCTCTCTCCAATCATGATCAGTTATCCATCGGCCAAATGCCAATTTATCCGAGTTCTTTACTGGCCGCACAACTCTGCGAAAAGTGATGTTTCGATGATCCTGATACACTTTAGGGAACCATAACACAGAATTGTGATCACTCAAGCCAATAGGGGTTGATATCTGTGGTTGGATGTAGTGTGGGTCAATATTGGTTGGGATGTTTTCACGTATATATTAAGCTATGCCTCCTCCTCGTTTGTTTTCCCTAGGTTTTCTATACAGTTTGTAATGTGGGAATGAGAAGTAGCTACTCTCAACATCGGGCGGGAACCAAGTCTCTGTGACGGCCGCTACATCAATAGTATTGGCCTTCAACATTATCTGAAGTTCATCTATGCGTTGAACAAGGGATCTGGCATTTAGTAACATGACCGAAGGGAGGTGTATGTTCTTAGGTTCAGTTACCGGTGTGACAGAAATATCAATGTTTACCAGATTGGATGCGGTCCTTCTGACCGTGTTTTCACCATGGTGTTGTCTGGGACGGGCGATCACTGGAATGTGTTGACCTTTGGTTTTTACTCCGGCACAGCATCCTCTTCGGGTGGGTTGTATCTTGCAGATGTTTAAGGCCTTCAACGTTGCCCACTCGGACCCTGAAAGTAGGTGGCTGACGTTACTGAAGTTCAGTAGTTCACTTCTCGAATACTGGATTCTGGTTGAAGTCAATGTCGTTGTTTGGTCATGGTTACGTTTGTTAAGAGGTTCAGGTCCAGGGTTTGGGTTGATATCGCCGCATACTAGTAACTGTTGGCGGAATGTTGCACTTGCGTTGTTGTAATATAACAGTTGGGATCCAAAGAGCCGGCGCCTGAAGGTGGGATTCAGTTGGGTCTTGTAGACAGTTTGTAGACTTGACATGCTGTTGAAGAAGCCATACTCGTATACAAACAGTATGGCTAAAAAAGCCAGATACGCCTTTGTCTTGGAATTCCACTTCATTGTTCTTTTATTGTCTGGAGAAATACCGTAGGCACTGGTCCGTAACGTGGGACGGCATGCACCTTGGGACACTTCAAGTTGTCGAAAATGTTGCAAAAATCCAGATATTCAGCAAACACTCACTCAACTTTATGATACAATCACTTCCTCGGGTACAGAGCTTCACGTAACAGCAAATAGAGTACTAAAATAGATTTTAAAAAGTCATAAAAAGCGACACTAGAAAGAGAGCAAAATTTTTACACCGGCTGCCCACAAGGCGCCCTCAACGAATTATTGATCTAACTGTAGCATATTGTCTGAATACTTAGCCAGAAATCTCCTACATTTATTTTCTTTACAGTGGGTCTGTAATGAATCAATCATCTGGTCCTTACACTTTCTTGGAGACTGTGCTAGATATAATAGGAAAAATCTGAAAATGTGGATTAAATTTTGTGTGAAGCATTAAAGCAAGTGATGAACACGGTGTTTGTGCCCACCTCAACACATAGAATGATTTAAGATACATACCTCGATAGCGGTTTTTACTGTTGAGGAAGCTGATACTTCTTTGAGATAGTCGCTGTGTTTTGTGTTTAGATGTGTTACTGTCACTTTATCTCCAAGTTTGACCGGGCTATTTGCCTTATCGTTCCATAAGGCAACATTTATTTGTCCATTGTCGTCCTTTACTTTGATGTTCCTGACGGACTGGGTGTCTCTTACACGTCGTGGTAGTTCGTCCTGCATAAATATAATGTGAGACATTAGAAATCATCATAATGAAGGTATTAATAGTTGATAGTTCACATGTACATTACATCAATACAATATACATGTAATTGAAATAAGCCAGGCTTTGAAAGTATTCTGATATTGTTCAAAGATGATTGCATTTCAGATGGAAATATCTAACTGGATGGATGGTACACAAAAATGGTACTACAGTAAACTCTGGTTAAATATTAGGCATTCATGGCACTCGCGAAATTATGATTTGTGTAGCTCACTAGTGCGGTAAGTTTTTTTTTTGTTGACTTACAAGTAAACATGTATTGCCTACTGTATGTAGCCTACATAATGATTGTGTTTACTACTTAACTGGCTTTGATTTGTTTTGGTTTATTTTTATCTCTGCAGTCGAAGTAAACAAATCTTTTTGTGTTTTATTGTCATTGGCTACAAATTTGATAATTGATTATGTGCTTTACGAACAAGCAAGGACGACAGCACTTGATCGACAGTTCAATATGTTTATGTCGCAATGTACAGTACAGATCACGCACAGTTTTACTATACTATTAAAGCTGAAGATGGAATTCATCGGCGACATGTTACATTTGTTCCTGAGTTGTTTGCTGTACTGACGAGGGTGGTGTTGCATGAGAAACCTAACTATTTGGTTGGCACCATGTTTTTCTTATTGCAATTTGTAGAGTTCCTTACTGACAACTGCGGGTAAGAAAGCACGAGTGGTGAAGTTTTTGGATGGCATACTTTGCTGCTGATTTATTTAAGGTTGTCGAGTTCATCTAGGCAGCAAGGACATTGCCAGAGTTATGTAAATGTTGATTTTCAAAGGTTGTGACTCCATGCACTTTATGCTCATATGAGTAATGCATGCCCAACTAAGTCATGAGGTGGCAAAAATAACATGGCTTCGATATTGTAACCATGGGGATTCCTACATAGGCGTAATGCAAATGGCCGAGGGACAGTAGAAAAGCTCAGGCATTAAAGTTAGTCATGTTAGTCAGCATATAGATGTTTATAATTATGGACACAAACTCAGAAAGGACCAATAAGCCTGGTTGTTTGGCTCACGTTCATGACGTTATGCCTAAGTCAATGTTAGTTACAGACATGACAGAAGCCTAAAAAAGATATAGGACTTTAGGACTAGCATGACTAGGAGCAAATTAGGGCTTAGGGCCTATGAAATGTACGTTAGGGGGCCTACTTTTCTTTCTAGCTCAGTGGGTAGGTCTACATTAATGTATTGTTAATGTTCGGAATGTTACTTGTTACTTTATGTTAGGCCTAGACTACGATCCCAGCAGTCAGCTTCTGCCCTCCAAGTTCATGAAATTGAAATTGTAACTTGTCATGCTTGTTAAATTTGTAAGCTAGCTTATCTTGACTTGAGTCTGTGTCGAATTTGATATGAAATCTAGTCGGGGGTGTGATTTTTCCGGATTCTTCCGGATTTTTAACCTAACGTCTGTGGAATTTTATGAGGATTCCGGAATGTTATGGGGATTCCGGATTAATTCCCAACGTTTTCTAGTGTATCGCCCAAAAAACCTCTGGCGAAATAGGGCCTACATTACGATAATGGATGGACTGGTGATACAAGTCTAATGAAAAAGCAGTGTAGTCAAGAACCTGTTAGACATCAATGCAGTGTGCACAGTAGAGTACTTGAGGACCAAACTAAAATGATTCTCAATGGGTTTGCACCATCGTGTTTGAGTATCGCGTGTGTGTGTTTTGTGCATATATTGTGCAGTGACGATCGTGAGCAAGCAAGTCGCGAAAACATTGGTGTCAATATTGCCGCGATTTTGTCAAGGAATTTAAGACTAAGACTAGAGTATGGTTGGAAGAACAGGAAATAAAGTGTCACTGTGGATGGAAATCAGTTTGAGCTGCAGTAGTGCTTTAAAAAGTAGCCACCACCAGCACAAAATTTCAAAAATGTTTTGGAAGCCTGGGACGTGGGAGTGGGACTGAAGTTTTAAAGAAAGATTAGGCCTACTGACACTGTACTAAAAAATACTTACTAAGAGTAGACTAAAAAAAAAAGTCTCCGGTTTCTGGTATGGAGCTTGCCCAAAAAGTGGTGCAGCGACGCGGCTTTTTTTTTTTTTCTTACCCGATTTTTTTGCTTCAAATGTCGGCTGATGACTGCAAATGGTGCCCGACTAAACTTAGTGCAAATATATGGGGGTCCAGAGAGGCCACATAAAGCTTATTCTCGACCATAACCCAATCTAAAAACACGTTTAAATTGTGCAACAGCAGGATTCCAGTCAAACCAGTGAGTTTGGCGGTTTTGAGACATCATCTTTCATTGAAAAAAAACCTTTTTCATTTTGCCGACGCGCATGGCTACGGCGATGCGCGTGCATACCAGACCGGAGACCTTTTTTTTGGCCTAAACCACCGTTCGTATTTTTTTTTGGTGAATCGTTTTTTCTCTTTGCAAACATGCAAAAATAATAACATCACTCACAGAAAAAGACATTATTGAATCAATCACATGTGGTTTAATAATTATATTATTTAATGACTAGACATTTCCCCCTAATTTTCCCCCGTCTGTTTTCTTAACTGAAGCAAAAAAATTTGCAAGCATTTACAGAAATTACAAAATGTACATGCCCTATATGCACATATGTGAATGTATATGTATACATGTACATCTACAACTGTACAAGTACATGTACAAGAATACATGTACATGTATACATTAGCTCGTAACAAGTGGTCAAGGCGCTAGTTGTTATTCATCCAGCCGTAGCGCGGTAAACGTTATCTCGCTAGCGCTATGCATGCAGTCATAATGTCTATGCATGCAGTGCATTAAAAATACAGCGCGAACAGCGACCTCACGCGGCCACTATTTTTATGCAAATCAGTTGGACCCAATATTGCGCCTTGGTTCAATCACACCTTGGTTTTGGGGGTGGTGCTCATTATGATCATAGCCTTAGCTGACCTTAAATGTCGTTTTCTTATTGGTCGATCCTTGCGTGCACACGGCCCCAATGCACAAAAACTGTGGTTCCTGTCACGTCCGCAAAAGGCGAATAGCTGCAAATAATTTGATAACGTCCAGATTTACCAAGGTGTGATTGGACATTCCACATATTAGCCCCGCCTACACTTATCTGTATTCGCATACAAGGTCGTGCGCTAGGAATCCAGCGCAAAATAAAGAAAAACATTAGCTTTTGCCTACGATTGAACCAAGGCGCTAGATTGGGTCCAACTTTTTTGCATAGAAATTGTTGCCGCGTGAGGTCGCTGTTCGCACTGTATTTTTAATGCACTGCATGCATAGCGCTAGTGAGGATATCGTTTACCGCGCCAACGGCCGGGGTGAATAACAACTAGCGCCTTGACCAAGGCAAATTAGCTCGTGGATTTTTCGTTTTTGTTCAGTCACACCCCTGATCTAGTCGTCTACCCACACTCACAGTAACAAAATGTCTGTTGACAATTCCGGCCATTTTGAATGATGTTTCCTATGTTGTTTTTAATTGTAGATGATTCTCAACGTAAAGTGATGGAAGCCCTTATCAATGACAGCACACGCTTTCAAGAGCTTTGCAAAGACTTGGGCCTTGAGGCATTGTTTTTAGAGGGGCAGGAGAACAAGGTATGTGATGGTCTAGTTTAGGAATAGATGATTGCGCGTGCGCAGTGACAATCTGTGCAAGTGTGGTATATGCATGCAGTAATGTACACGAACATGTACATTACACAGAGACACGTCAATCTGTAACATGTTTACAAGTTATTAAGTCAGCGTAACGTAGCGCTGTGACCATAGTGTTTTTAGTGTGCCAACCAAAATGGCAACGAAGAAGGCAACTTTGAAGTCAAAGCCGAGCCAAAAGTTTCTGAAGAAACACATTGACGAACGGCTGTGCCTAACTTTCAACAAACATTCGGAATATTTTGGCTTTTGCACATTGTGCAGTGTTGATTTCTGTGTGAGTCTCACGGGTAGAAATGATTGCATGAAGCATATCTCAACCGATAAACATTCTCGGGTGGCAGAACTTGTTGAGAAGAGACACCGAAAATTACCAGCTTTACTTTAGCAGGTTCGACAACCAGGACACATCGTTGACGAATGCTGAGGTAACTTTTGTCGATTTTTTAATTGAGCACAACATACCCATCGTGCTGCCGGACAGTGAATTGTTGGCCTGAAAAAAGTACGATTTCTAAATGTTGGGTGGTCTGAAAATGCAACATGTGATGTTAAAAACAAATATATAAAAATATATAGAAATATTCAGGATGATGTACAGGGTACATAAAAAGTAGGTTTGGAGTCGGCACCATAAGTTTTTATTTTTATCATTTTTAAATAAAAAGATATGGGGTCGGCATGATTTTCTAGGTAGGGTCGGGTAAGAGGAAACACGGTATTTTTTTGTTTGGCCTAATTCTGCTTACATGGAATTTGAAAATAAGGTAAATTATTGTTCTTTCAGGGGTGTTTAGGTGGATTTCCGTCTAGGTCAGACTGTTGCTCTAAATTGTTATGATTTTTAATGGTGATATGTAGCTCTGCCTCCATTTTCAGGATGATGAAACATTGCATGAGGGCGAGGTTGAGGAAGCAGTAGGCCCAAGGGCGAAGAGGATACCAAAGAAGGTAACTGCCAAGACACGCATCATTTGGTAGGATAGTTTCCTCGATGGCCATGCAGTACCAATTACCTGACTTTGCACATCATGTTTTTTTTCAGGACTGTAACATTTTGCTCGACCCTTGTAGAATGATTGTCCAGGTGCAAAAAATGTGACTCCACTCAATCTAAAAAAAACCTTTTTCAGTACCTTTTTTATTCCCCTTCTCTGAAGACCTACACTTGATTTAAACTAATTCAAGTGTGATTGTACCCAAAACGATTTATATTATGTTACCGTAATATTGTATCTTGCAGAAAGTTTTGCCTGATGACTGGATCACTGGTTCTAAACAAGTAGAAAAAAGGAAAACTGAAATGGGCAAGTTGGTGAAGTAGAAAAAGGCAAAGAACAGGATCCCCCTTACTTCCAAGAAGGTGAGAAATGCGAAGAAGAAAATTGAAAAGGTGACATGCACTGTATATTTTCAGACTACGTCTTGCAATATATACAGCAATAACTATGCCAGAAAGCAGTAACTCCTTCCAGCCTCCATTGAAGACATTTGCTGTGATAGCTGTCTGCCACCATGCCTTCTTTGGTCATAGTAATACCCTAAATTTTGTTCTTGTTCACTGCATTTTACCGATCCATCTCTTACCATATTGTTTGTCCGTTTCGCAGATAAAAGATTAATTGGGTATACCACTGCTGGAGACTTATAGGCCCTATTATATAAAAGATTTGCTGCCTAATATTAGCTGGAATAGCTGTTAACCAACAACTTGATTGTGTTTATTGAAATATTTTCAAACTGTTATATTTTAATTTATTTCATTAGCACTCCAGTCAAGAGCAGATCTGTGAATTGTGCAAAAAACATTCTTAAATAATGGCCTTTGTTATTATTTCAGAGAGTGTCTCCTGGTCCAAGAAGCAGCCATCACGAGGAAGATGATTCTGGAAAGACAAGATGATTGAAAAAATCTTCCTTTGACATTGGCCAGGATTTAACTGAATAAATAAAACAAAAGCCAAGATAGAACATTCATATTTAGTGGATTGTATAACAAAGTTATATGCTGGCCTCATGGTCAAATTAGTTCTAGTCTGTCAAGCCTACCAGGCACTACATTCACATGCCCCTACATGTATCATACAGGATTGTTATTATAGTCAGTTAATGATTCCTTTGTTCTTATTTTGATTTCCCTTAGACTTTGAGATGCTTGACAATCCCCCTCCAAAGAAGAGGAAAGATGAAGTATGTATTAATAGAAATGACATTGCACTTGTGTTTCAATTTCTTTTCATTTTTGCAAGTAGCTGACTCATCAAAACTCGTACATATGTATGGAAAGCTTTTTTAAAAAACCCAGGTAACTGGGAACATGCGTGTTGGGCATGGGTGGTTGAGACCTGCATAGGCCTACGATTGGTCAGATTGCAACAGAGCGGAGAGCAATGGATCAATGGATTGATAAAGTATGCAATGTTTGGAGTGACATATGCCATGTTCTGGCTGATCAAGTAATTGCATTTGGAAAACTGCAGATATCTGTCAACTACCATAGCTGTTATGCATTAAAGCATTTATTTATCCAATTTACAGGCAACTGTGGTTCAGAGAGAGAAGATTAATAACAAGAAAGAAAAGGATAAGGCTCGTATGAGTGAAACCGCCGCTGCCTCGGCCCTAGTTCTGCAGTCTTGTCTGCCTGCAGACAATGATGCCAATGTCCTCCAGGATATATTGATGAAGGTAGGATTATGGATAAAGATGTATACAACTAGTAATCCTCAACGTGTCACTGGTTGAGTGAATTAATATCTTTTTGCAAAGAGTTCTTTCCCCATGCACCTGGCCAATGTCTCCCATTGCGCAGTGTGTACTACAGCTGGCGATAACAACATTGTTTGAGAATTAGCTACGCCCAAAGAGACAAACACTTGGCTATTAGATTGTGGATGAAAAAGGAATAAATATAGGGCAAATTATTTTCTTATGTATTGTGCTTAATTTAGTAAAGTTTGCCCCAACAGATTGGCGGAGTGATAAGTTAGACGCGGAAAATTAATTTTCTATTGCTTATATGCGTATACTAGGTCAATGTCATGACTGCAGAGATTCGTGCTTTAAAAGAGGAGATATTCGAGTGCAAAGCGGAGGTTTCCCACCTACGAACCTGCAGGTCCTGTGTGCGCACACTATATAAGGTAAGCAATATTTCATTTCCGCTTACATTTCCTGTCAGAGTCCAAATTTGAGGTGTGCCATCACACCCCATGCCATCGCATGCTCACAAGCTTGCCAAAAAGTGCAAAGAAATTACACGCCCGCATTCCTCTGGATTGTGCACACCTTGACATATTCTTCTGTGAGCTATTGAAATGGCATTTATAACAGATTGTTTATTTTAATCTTCGGCCACAAAATCTCACACCAAGAAAAATCACAAGCCGAAATTTTGAAATCCGATGGATTGTTAAGCATATGGCATTCCGCCTTCAGATTAATCAATCTTTGGTAAATGTGCTTCGTTTTGTTTTGTTTTCACAGGAATTACGATCTCCATGCATGCCCCTTGGGATGTCACAGTCTCCACCCATGCCGCTTGGGATGTCACAGTCTCCACCCATGCCGCTTGGGATGTCACAATCTCCACCCATGCCGCTTGGGAAGACACAATCTCCACGCATGCCGCTTGGGAAGACACAATCTCCACCCATGCCGCTTAAGTCACAATCTCCACCCATGCCGCTTGGGAAGTAACAATCTCCACCAATGCTGCTTTCACGGCCGTCTCAGCGCGCATTAAAGCGTGCGCCTTCAGCGTTAGCATACGGCCAGTTTAATTTACGCGATAAACGTAATACAAGTTTAGGGTTCGTTTCATAATGAATGTTTTATTTTTTTCCCAAGATTTATTTCAGTTTTGTATAAAAAAAAGGTGATAATATTTGTTTTTGAATTTTTATTTGTCACTTTGTATTAGTTAGGAGTTCTTGTGTGTTTCAAAGTTATTATTAGACGGATGTAATTTTTTTCGGCGGTGTAAAGTACAGCGTAAGCTAAATGGATAACGTCATGCGGTTTCTCGTACGTTAACCCCGTGAATTTTGTGTTCAAAAGTACGGTTATTTTCGGAGTCCCCAAGTTTTCATCATCATGAACAGCCACAATCCATAAAGTTGAAGACTTTTACCACAACATATTTCGGCAGGACAGTTCGGACAAGGTAAGATTCGTTAAAATGAGAGGCCGATTGTTGGGTTATTTTTTGTTCGTAACACTGTGAATGTACGAAAATACGTTTATTTACATGTATGTACAATGCACACGGCATTACGCGTACGTGAATGAACATCACTTGAAACAAACCTTACATAAAATCAAAAGTTCAGATGAAAAAGTAACTGTTACCTAAAAATACATTATCAATCGTGTTTTACAGATACTATGTTAGATATTTACAATAATTTAAGTCAATTACAGCAAGGATGGCTTGTGATGTTTTAGATTGTATTTGAAGACCATCACGTTTGCTACCGGTACGTAGAACTAGGATTATATTCAGCAACAAGTGAGTGCTGAACCTAAAAACAGTACAGGCTCATGTTGATATTGTGATAGGCCTACTTCTGCACTTTTTTGTACGATGAATTTTATCAATCATGTTTATGGACCGGATGGTAAGGTTACACGCTTTTGCCTTGCCCTTGGGCGCAAGTACAGCCATTTTACAGCTCACAGTCACACATTAATTTATAATTAGTGATCCTAATGAGTAAAAGTACAACTTTACATTCTAACGTCATCAACGTCCAGACGTCAGGCCTTGCCAAAATATTTACATTATTACATCTACAAACTGTAGGCTACATCGATGATAGTGACCAGCGACCAGTCTTCATGCCAATAAATTAATTGTACATGTAGGCGTAATTTTATTTGAAATTATGAATCTGGTGGTGTGAAGCATAAAAATGAACATATGAATAAGGAAATTGTTTTCCCCCGGTTTAATTTCAGGCTTTCCCCTCCAACTACACACGTTTGGTGGAATTATGTGTGAGCTGTTACAGGTGACAGTGAATCAAGGTGAGACTGAGAATCTAAAATTACATTTATGTTTTCATGCACAAGTTAAGCTTTGATTTACATACACACAGTTTGAAAAAGGCATGCGACTCTCATATGTGTACAACCTGATTGATATTTTATTCCTCCTTATCCTGGACTTTCTGCCTTTTAGGTGGACGATGTGCCTGTACTCTGGCTATCACCTCGGGTGTTGTTGATAGATGGTGCCGTTTCATCACCGTCATGAGACGCTGGAGGTCATCTCGCATGCAGCTGACGACACGTCCAGTTCTATTGAATTCTGTGTGAATTAATTCACCACCCTGCTCGTTCAGCAATCCGAAGCCGACCCCGAATCGTGTCAGTTGACCGATTGCGTGATCCTCCAGTAAGTGCATTTTGGGTGTAATTGATGCAGTAGGAATATGCAGCCTGTAGGCTCTCATGAAGGATGTTATGCAGATATCTGGCAGGAAACAACATTAATGTACATTAATATTCATGTTAACCTTATTAGAAGTGATTTTTCCAATTTGAATTAACTTTACATAAAAATAATCGTAACAAAAATCACTCACCAACTCTTTTCAGATCAGCTGCTGTTAGAGCCTTTGCATGGTTCATTGCAAAGTGTACGTCAGCATATTTGAGGAAGACATCCTCAAATTTTGAGCCAATCTCTGCAGCCTCTCGAACGAGTTTCTGGTGACTGAGTACAGGAATGTCTTCACAATCCATGGCTCGGAGGATGCGAGATGGTGCTGAGGTAAGATCTTTTATGACTGGCATCTGATTGAGAATTTAATATACATTTGTGCACATGTGAATTCCTAAATATTACATAAGACCCTTACAAGTTTTTTTCAACAAGTCTTGATAAATTCCACATACAATATGTCTTACCTGACAACATTTGTGAACATGGTTGCCAACGAATGCCTTTCCGTGATATGCTTGACGTTTGACATTGTGGCGTTGCAGCACAGCATCAAGTGAGCTAGCTATTGGGCCAGCTCCAAATGGAAAATCAACTGTTTGTTTTTCCTGTTGTATTTCAAGAACAAAAATAAAGAATAGGGTTAAAAACATTTTTTCTGTAATTCTTTACTGACTTCGCATATTCTTTACTGACTTCGCATATAACTTGATTGCTATTTTTTTTAATTCTCAGCTCAATTAGCTGTCTTCTCACCAAGTCTTCCAGTTGTTGACGAAGCAAAAATGCTCTGTTGGCCATCTCACAGAAGACCTTGTTTTGCTTGGGTAAGTCTTTCTGGAGTATACAGAGTGGGATTTCATCCTCCACTTGCTCAAGCTCTTCCGTCTTTTGAGCAATCTCTGTTGCCACTTTTTGCTGACTTGTATACTCCTCTGTCACCCTCTTGTCAAAGTTAGTTGGATCTTCCTCATCGTCGTCATTGTCTGCATGAGTTACACGCAACTTGAACAGCGTATAGTCAAGCTTGTGACAGTGCTCCTCCAATTCGTACATTTGTTTGAAGTTCCCCAATGAAATGTGCAGACTGGGAAGTACAACCTGCCACAAAAATTGTAACATTGACAATATCAGTTTCTATTCAGTGTATTGAAATCCTTGCATATTTAACTGCATGCATTTTATTAAAGCAGTTTTAATTTAACATACATGATCGGTGTCAATTTCTAGGAAAGGTTTGGCAACAATGCTGTGTGAGACGTCTTTTGCTCTCGACCGTCTGGAGCCATCTGCCTCATACTTCTGGAAGTCATCCATGATGGTCTGAAGGGTACGGGCTGGAGATTGCTCTCTCTCATCTCTTGGTGTTGCCATTCTCTGTCGGGATGCAGTGCAGTGGAGGCAGCAGTACCGGGCTGCAGTTGGAAAAAAAGACCAATACAGGTTTGTTTATTATTCTATTAAGATGGATGGCATTTTATTTTTGATATTATAATATTAACTTTACATACCATTGCAGCTGCAAATACCATACATCTTGGTCATGAGGTCGTAATCGCCAAAGAAGAACAGTCTCATAGTTTTGTCCCTGTTAAAGAACATACAAAAAGTACATGTAGTTTCAAAATTGTTGAGTTTGTCTTTAATTGGCTTTTAATTGGCTTAGAAAAATTCCAAAAATCAAATTATGATAACCTACCTGCATGTTTGCTTGGCAAGTTGAGATACTTGACTTGCGACTGATGGTAGAACTCGCTGTAGATTGACCATCGAGTCTGTTGCCTCGAAACACGCAAAGACTATGGTGTTTTGCAGTGAATTGGGGTGCTGTGTATTGGCGATTTGGAATGACATTTTAAATGTATTTCCCCCTTTATCCCCTCCAATCTTGATCCAGATTTCATTGCCCGGAATCACTCCACTGTGCCAAGTGAGGGAGCCATTCCTGTTGAACGAAGTGTTATTAAAAAAAGTAAGAGACAGTTTGCATTGCTATTAGAAACCAGTAGAAGCCTGTGGGATATATGCATGTATAACATAAAATGACTATTTACATAGAGGTTACACTTACTGTTCATGCCTGTCAAGGTAGTCAAGAACCATTCCTGAGAGATTCTTGACAGTCACACAAGGGACCTCTAGGATTTCTAAGCCACCATGGCCATGGGCACTCTAGGAATTAAACACTAGTGGGACAAGTGCACCCTCAATGTTGTCCTTCAGAAGTACTTGCTGTCGGTCTCTCATTGCACGTTCAGAGGAGAATTGCACGCCAACATTTCCAAAATATCTAGATATAAAGAAGCAGATATGTTAATTAAAAAAAAAAACGGTTTAGATTTTTACCAGCCTGGGGAGCTGACCTCTTTCTTGTGATATACACAATTAACCGTAACTCATTTACCCACATCCTGACTCCTCAGTCTGCACACCTGTTGTAAAATTTCACAAGCACCCACTAGCATACTATAAAGTGTAAGATCCATGTTAAGTTAGCAAACCTGCGAAGTTTTCTAAGCTGTGTCCAGGCCAGCTGACAGTCTCGCATCATGGCAATACTTGTGTCCGTGTCAATCTGATCACTGGTCGCAGTTGGCTGTTCAGGCTCCTTTTTCTTGGAGTTGCTTTTGGTAATACTCTGCACAAAAGCAGGCTGTGTAGAAAAGAAAATTTTAAATACATTGTGTAAATATGAACTTACAATTTTGAACTATATGCATTAGAATACAATTACATGTAATCCTTATTTATATATTGTAAGAAATATGACTGTATAAATTGTATGTACATTGTATTGTAATATTGTAAATATATTGTGTATTGAATTGTTAGTCAATTTTAATTTGAATTCTAATTTAGTCTTAATTATTTAAACTACTTTGTTTAATTCTGATTAGGTTCTCTGAATCCTCTTTCAAAAAGGTCTTTACATGTACTTAAAAAGCAAAGACTTAATTTTTGAAATGTAGTTCATCTATGCCTGAATTTACTTCATGCTTAAATTTAAAGGAATACAAAAATGATCTACAATGTATAGTTACCCGTCCAGGTGTTTTTAGACGTGCCTCAAGCCCACGTCTGGCATGTAGTTTGAGCCACATCCATCTGTCACTCGCCTCTTCTATTTGGGCAGGGATAGGGGTACCTTTCTTGTGCTGGTAGGCAATTTGTTTAAGAAGGGCAGCAGCTTCCTCGGCTTGCTTGGTGAGTGACGGGTTGGTTGATGGAGTGGCTTCATTACTGGGGATGGGGTCGGGGGTGGAGGTAGGGATGCATTTCTCGCAATGACACTGGGCTACCTGGGCCACTTTTGTTGGGCAAGAATGAGATGCCATGGACGGTAGTTTGCCAATCGAGCCGCATTCTGCGCAGGCTGTGCTGAGGGTGGTTAGCTGGTACCGTAGTATCCGGGGGGAGAACGACACACCTTCGTACGAAACTGTCGACTTGCATGTTGGGCAGGGAACTTCATACGAGTCATTGTGGTAAAACCACTGATACAAGCATGATGCACAAAAGTTATGCTCACAGGGGGTTTGGACGGAGGGCGAGCCAATAATACATTGGCATATCACACAAATAAAGAGTGTTTCTTCATGTGGGTCTTGGCCTAGTATGCAGAGCTTGTGTGAAACTGTGTGTTCCTCTTTGATCTGGAGATTAAATGGATCATCGGTAGAATCCCGAAAAGAAATCTTCTTAGTGTCCTTGTGTTTACTGTGTGCAGAGTTACCAGTAGATTTAGCTGGACGGCCCCCCATTACTTGCCTTCTGTATTTTTCACATGTTGTACATGTTCCAGTCCGAGTATGTTTTGGCCACTCTGAAACACAAACTGTGAGCAAACTAGTCACACTCGAATCCCGTGTCTGGTCTTGAAGGTGCCTCAAATTTCTTGCACATCTCCAACAAACCTTTGTGGGATGACACTCTGGATCATCCAGCCAAACGCTGACGTTTACAGATAGCAGTTCTTTGTTGAATTCAGAACACAGTTCGGCTTTCTGCTTGCTCGAATCTCTGACCGAATTTAACTTTCCACAGACCCTACACAGCCGTTCTACACACTGCTTGTGGAAATCCAAACTCATTCTCCACCATTTTCACACAATTTTACAGCCCAAAGCGAGAATTAAATACAAGACGTGTTTACACGCCGCGACTAATGCAGAGTGACGCCGTATAATAATAAAGTGACCGAAAAAAATTCATATCTCGCGCCGAAACACGGGCCCGAGGCGCCCGACTACTCCACCCCCGGCTTTTAACACGCTGTATGCCATGCAGAAGGCAGGTTTCCATACCGTGCATAAACATTTCACCGAGCAGACGTTCATTTTTAGGGGAAGAAAATCGTCTTTCAACCACATATACCACTTGTCCGAATATTAAAACTTAAAAAGAAGTTAAAACTTTTTATAATCTTTACAACTGTACATTTTATTTGCTGAGGAAAACTTGGAATCCAGAATAATACGTATTTTTACGTCGATACTAATGGGCATTTGTAGCAAAGGGAATATATGCGAAAAATCAGCTTTATTCTCAAAATGTATTCGTCGTGACCAATTTGATAACCCATTTCGTAGAGAAAAAACTATTTTCATTAAAAAAGTACTGTTGAATGTTTTGATAGATTATGGTTCTTGAGATATTGTAATTTTTCTGCAGTTATTTTAGTTTCGCGCTACCGCGAAAGTAGCCGCCATTTTGTTTTTCGTAGCATGCATCATTGGAGGAAACATTCGTTTGTCGCGCAAAACTTTGCGTGCGTTGTGGCAATGCATGTGAAAAAGCCGTGCTTGGGAAGTCGAAATCTCAAGGCATGCCGCTTGGGAAGACACAATCTCCACGCATGCCGCTTGGGAAGTCACAATCTCCACGCATGCCGCTTGGGAAGATACAATCTCCACGCATGCCGCTTAGGAAGTCACAATCTCCACCCATGCCGCTTGGGAAGTCACAATCTCCACCCATGCCGCTTGGGAAGTCGTATGCACAATCTCCATCCATGTGTCTGGAGAAGTCATATGCACAATCTGCTCCCTACCAACCAGGTAAATCTGTCCACATCCACTGCTTGTTAGTCCTCTGGCTGATGGACATATGAGCCTTTTTTAATAACTTCCTTGAATATCACTTGTATTACTTCAGAAGATGTGGAGGAGCCCGCAGTGGAGGAGTCTGCAATGGAGGTGTCTTCTGAGGAGGATCTGCCAAGCAACTATGATTCTGAGGGTTAATGTTAAACCTATCAAGCTGTTTGTGAATTAAGCCTTTGAAACATTAAGCTCCGCCCCGTTATGATCTGCTGACCAATCACAATCCCGACCTACGTCCGACATGCTTTCTTGAAATTGGTGAATGTGCTGGTGAAGCACACGGTTGAAACCTGCGAGTAGCATATAGAGGAACATGTGTACATTGCACATGTGTGTTTGCTGTTGGTGGAGCTTACTTGATCGCTCAATTGCAAGACATGTACCTGTAACAAAGTTCGAGTTTACAGACCGGAATCCGGAGATAAAGTAATGTAAGTTTCATTAAAATCAAATTCTATATATAATATATGAGTTTATTTATATTGTCTATTTCAGATCTGGCTTACATGGGAGACAGCAAGTATGGGGTGCTAGTTAACAAGAGTAGGCTTCGTAATTGTGAGGCAACTACAAAATCTGCCGAAAAACTAGCTCTATACTTGCTGGAGCTCATAATAACAAGAGCTGAATGCCAGACCCTCAGCATTATGGGTAGACGCCCAGGGAAAATTGCGATGGAGGCGAACAAGAGGAGGGCATTGAGATGTAAGTTTTAAAAAATGACATTTTGAAGGTAATTTGATTATTGGCATGCAGGAAATATCTTCCCAGTCCAGCCAGCACTTGTCAACAAATAAAAGCAGGATGAAAAAGTTGCAATAGAGACTGATAAGCTTAAACGATTTGTGCTAAGATGGCCCTTAGCAACAAGTACAAAAAAACCCTTTAACCCTAGTCTTCCATGACAAATGATGTAAATTACCAGGATATTTTATTGGTACAGTTTATAGGCTTGAGTATGGCGGACAGTGCCAGGAAATGGTGTTTTTCCTAAAATTGTACACTTGTCTTTTCTATTTCAGCTCATATATTTCAGAAGTATCCTGCGAAAGATGAAACCTCATGTTCCGAGCAGTGGGAAAAGATCGTCTACAAGCTAAACGATAAGATACGAGCAATTAAGAACGGCAAATATAAAATTAATTAACAGGATGCACACCTGTTTTTTTCTGTTTGCTATTGAGGCTGTTGTGGACAGTTTGTCACCTTAATCATAACTTCACAATTTTGGTGCAAGGTTGTGTTATTATACATGTAATTAAATTTTAGCCAGGCTATCAAACAGTTAATCATCAGTCAAGGTATGTGCATGTAATATGCGCATCAGGGGGCATTTGTGTTTATCAATTAACATTTTTAGGGACCGTTTCCTATTTCACCCACAACTGAATTTTTATTCTGCTATAGCATACAATTTTAATAAATTGGGTCACATCCCAAATCTAATGGATTTCTGCCTTATGTGCTATTCTTTAACCTGTG